CGCATGGGATCCAGAGGAGAAGTAATGAGGCTATTTTCTAATAGATACTGTTCCCATATGAACAAAGATCAGGCACAGACTGTTACAGCCAGGTATGTTCCAACAAGGCCCCAATAGGATTTTACTTTCTCATCTAATTTAAGTTCAATAAGATTCCTTTTTGTTGCAACTGGACTCAAGGGAACTTACTAAAAACGTTGCATTTAGCAAAAATTAGTGAATAATCAGCTCAAGTATTTGGAATGTGGACGGGTATAATTTCTGTGCATTTTTATCCCAAATAATCCAATTGTGTTAGTGCTTTGATTTACAGAACACTCTCTAATCTGTTAATTGTTAACATTAGCATGTGAATATTTTTGTATATTAATTTTTTAAGAATTTTAAATTTTAAAAAAGTCTTGTGAAGAGAATTGATCTATATAAAATGTATTTAATACAGAGAACATCAAAGCACCTTTCATCAGGTAAAGGTCCCTATGACATATATCGGATTATACTAATCAAGTCTCCCTTTACCTACAAACAAATCCTGTTTAAATACAAAATAATACAGTTCATGTCCCTATCTTTTCGTGACAAATCTTTAGCATCACTTGGGGATCACAATTCAGCAAAATAATGATTGTGTTTTTCAAAAGAAGATAGCTAATACAAAGTTTTCTAGTTTAAAAATAGCACCATTTACGGAAGGAGATATTTTTTTAAGTCCAAAGTCTCTAAACAAGTGATTTACCGAAATTCATGCAAAATAAAGTTTGAGTGGCTGATTTTCACAACTCTCTTGTGATCTGGAGTGGAAAACAGAACAAAGTAAAAAGACAGAGCAAAACAGTAACTTTGAAGAATCAAAAGAGACACACACACACACACACACACACACGCACACCCCGACAGCGTATGTTCCTTGTTCTCTGCCAGCTGCATCACCAGTCCGGGACCTCAATCACAAAGGGCGTTTTCACGTCGATCTTGCCACTGTTGGTGATGGCGCAGTCGGTGAGTGGTCGGTCGTGCCCATCAGTTGCCTGAAGCTCTATGGAGTGGACCACTGTCTGGTGAGAGAAAAGCAGACCCTTCTGACCGGCAAGTATGGCAATCGAGAAGTGAGATCAATGCCAAGTCTTTCAGCCCAAGTGGGAGGTAAAGTTTTTTTTCTATGATTACAAAACCATTCAAACTAACCATGAAAAACTTAGAATATTCAGGAAATTTATATATAACAGAATAAACTTTACCCACTACCTTGCTAATTAGAGAATATATTTATATATTTCCTCACTTCTTTTTATTAGCATTTTATTTTCTGGGGGAAAAGTTAGATATCTTTGCCCGGCCGGGTGTGGCTCAGCAGTTGAGCATCAACCTAGGATCCAGGAGATCGCGGTTCAGTTCCCAGTTTGATTCCCAGTCAGGGCACATGCCCGGGTTGTGGGCTCGATCCCCAGTCGGGGGCGTAAAGGAGGCAACCAATCAATGATGACTCATCATTGATGTTTCTATCTCTTCCTCTCCTTCCTTTCTCTCTCTGAAATCAATAAAGATATATAAAAAAAGATATTTTTGTAAACACCTACCTCTAATAAACTATATTTCCACTCACTTGTTACAACCCTAAGTAACAGTTAACATGGAGTTTGAGTCCATTTCAGCTCCACCTGTCATAGGTCTAGGCATCATCAATTGGGCCAGAAAGTAGATTTAGAAGTGGAGCTCGTTCTGGGTGTGCCCATTTTAAAACTGACCCAAGCCATTAATCCATAGGTTGAGTCTAACTCTAATGTAACCTCCATCCCACAGTGGTGTGCAGGCCCCTTTCTCTGCCATGGGAGATTTCACAGGCCCATGTACTACCTCGTGTCATGCTGAAGGGGGGAGGACTGGCCAAGGACTGGGAAGGTCAGTTTCTGGTGTTTCCCAAACACGGTTGAGACAAAAGTAGCAACAGAGTGTCTCAGGAACTTGGACATGGTGTCAAATAGTCCAACTTCAGGCTTAGATCAATTTAAGATAAAAGGGCAGCATTTTTCAAATAATATATATTTCGAAGTAGACTGTGTGTGCGCACATGTGTACCTAAAGCAGTGACTGCACATCCGAATTACCTGGGCACTTTTTAAAAATGCTTACTTAATGGTTAAAATGGAAATTCCCGTGTTATGTATATTTTGCCACAACTTTAAAATCCTTATTTGTGGGCCCACCTCTGGGGGTTCTGCTTCCGTAGGACTGAGGTGAGGTCCAGAGATCACAACCCAGATGATCTCTGGAGAATCAAGAGATGGAATTCAGGAGATTCTCTAAATTCCCTGAAACTCTATGAAACATATACACACTTATTTTTTCTAGAGAAGTCTATAGTCTTCATTAGTTACTCAAAGAAGTTTATAACCCATAAAATGTTAAGGACTGTTCCTTTAAGACCAGGCAGCTTTAAGGGAGACCTTTAAGACCAGGTCTCCCAGGAGGCACACCAATGGATAGAAGGAAATTGTCGCTGCAATCAGGGCAATAAGACAAAAGATCTAGAGGACTAAAAGAAAAACCATGACCAGAAGAACACCCAAACCTTGTACTCTTCAGTTTTCTTACAGCGTAGCACAATGTTGCATTAATATATAGTCATTGAATGGATGAATGAATTAGTTTACATTTAAACTATTTAGAACCTGGTTAGGCCCCAGTGGTAAAACACTCAGACTGGTTTAACACATGCATGCCCATGTTAACTTTGCTCATTTCAAAAGCAAAGTCAAATAAGAGACTTGAGGAGGGCTGGCACTGATTATCTAATTTTAAGACTGCATTCTTTTGAGGACAGTTATGGCTCATTAGAATATAGGCATGTCCTTTATTGTGATGGGTTGTAAAGTGATATATTAAGTGACATGTCTTTGCCCTAGTTCCCTCTCATCCCACTTGCTAATGAGAATTCTATCTTTGACAGCTCAGGTTGGGCGCTTCCTTTCCTTGTAAGGGAGATTCTGAGTCGGCCAGCTCATCTCCTGACTTTCCGTTGGGTAAAATCAGAACAGCAGGTGGAAGTTGTGGGAAAATTGCAATGAGTGAGATAGGTTTATTTACATTTGGACGAGGGAGGTATAACTCACATGAAAACAAAACAAAATGAATATGAGAGGAGACAAGGACTGTCAGGGTTAGGTTGGGCAGACCTTACAACTGCCAGGTCAGGAGTTGAGAGAGCTACTTTGGGAAGTTGCTGAGGAGAAGAAATATTGAAAGTGGAAAAGAATGAGGATTTTAAGAAGTGTTCCCATGGATTATGAATTGGACACCTTTGATATTTTGTGAGACAGCAGCAGAAATCTGAATTCTCTTTAGTAATTTTGGGTACTATACTGTGTGTCTTTAAAGGTGACTATATTGACACTGAATTGCATGGGGTGCTAGGTTCTTTTAAATTTTATTTTTGTGGTAAGAAACATATAATATTTATCATCTTATCCATTTCTAAGAGTACAGTTCAGTAGTGTTAAATATATTCACATTGTGCCCAGCCGGGCATGGCTCAGTGGTTGAGCGTCGACCTAGGATCCAGGCGTTCGGGGTTCGATTCCCAGTCAGGGCACATGCCCGGGTTGCTGGCTCTATCAATGACTCTCTCATCATTGATGTTTCTATCTCTCTATCCCTCTCCCTTCCTCTCTCTGAAATCAATAAAGATATGTATGTATATATATATATACACATATATATATATATTCACATTGTAGTGCAACTAATCTCTAGAACTTTTTTGTCTTGCAAAACTGAAACTCTATACCCATTGAACAGTAACTCCTCATTTCCTCCTCTCCATAACCCCGAGCAACCACTATTCTACTTTATGTTTCTATGTATTTGACTTCTTTAGATACCTCATGTAAGTAGAATCATACAGTCTTTTTATGACTGGCTTATTTCATTTAACATTCTCGAGTTTCATCCATGTTATAGCATGAGACAGTATTTCCTTCCTTTTTACAGCTGAACAATATTCTATTATATGCACACACAGTGCCCTGGTTTTATTTGGTTACATTAAAAAGAGTTTCCATTTATAACAAGTAGTGAGATATATTAACTTACGTACTCAACTTCTCCATGTCAAGTCCTCAGCTTCTGCCCCAATGCTCCCAACAATTAAAATGCCATACCATTTATAATTTATTCACCTTTGAAGAGGCCAGTCAGCATATAATAATGGATTAAAATAAATTATTGAAAGTACTCTCATTATAAATATAAAGCTTTGAAAGAAAAAAAAATATATATATCAAGTTACCATGCCATCGATGACTTTTCCAAATACTACATGTTTGCCGTCCAGCCAGGAGGGCTTGGTCAAGGTGATAAAGAACTGAGAGCCATTGGTATCAGGCCCGGCGTTGGCCATGCTGACCCACCCAATGCCATAATGCTTCAGTTTGAAGTTCTCATCTGGAAATGTCTCACCATAAATGCTTATACCTGGTGAGACAGAATAAGAAAAAGGAGAATCAACAGGTGCTGTAGGAAAGTCAGTTCTTCAAAGGGAAACATGAGGTTTTAGTAGAATTGGTAAATAGGAGCTGATAAGAGTGAGGAATGGGGAAAAGATGGTAAAACATAAGGCGAAGTGAAGAGCATAAAATTAACTCCGTAAGGACTGACACAAACACATAAACAAAGGCCTTAAATTTGACACAGGATGGCAGGATACCCTCTGGCCTCAAACCAAGGGCCAAACCCTGACCAAGCAGCTCAGTGATTTCACTGTGAAGTGAGAGGGAACTGAAGCGCAGGATGTCACTGTAAAGCCAGAATGAAAGGTAGATGAGGCATCCTCCTGGCTCAGTCTCCGTTCCGAGGTTCAGGGCACTTGTCCTGGGTCACTCCTACCTCAGCATACAACTAGGGCACACTAAGCACACAATATACACCCTTAGCTAATTCTCAAAATAACCCATAGAATAGATATTCTCAACCCTGGTTTGCAATGAGAAACGCAGGTTACAAAACTTGAAAACAGCAGAACAGAACTTGGCCATCTGGCTTTCTGACTCCAAAGCAGATGTTCTTTGCTGCCTCAGCACTAAGAGCAATAGTAGCCAGCCTGGAAGTCATTAGGCACGATGACATCAGGGCTTGTCAAAATACACAGTGTGATGGCAACTGGGATCCAACCTTGAACAGAAGAACGAAACGCAGGCGTATGGACTGGAGTTCTAGCAAAGCAGCAGGTAGAGCAGAACACATTTTCCCCATAAAACAGCAGTGTAGACCATGAGAAGTATATGCTCCCTCCTCTGACACCTTGAGTGCCTGTCATGTTCACCTCCTCCCCTTCTGCAGGGTTCCTTATCCATCCATTGCCAACCTTAAAATCCTGGCTCAGTTAGAAGGACCAGGAGTGGATATCAAAGGCAAGCAATGTATGGCTGGTTGGTCAGTGACATGTGAGGCGACCTGGCAGGAAAGCTCTGCCCACAGAGGAGTCATATGCTAAATTAAGTGGCCCACAAGGTCCTACCTCCAAAACTCAGAGAATTTTAACTCAAAACACATGTGCACACACTTGAGCATGTGCGCACGAACATGCGTGTGTACACACACACGCACACACACACACATACACACTGGGCAGGGAAGGCAGAGAGAGAGAAATGTAGAAAAGGGAACACAGTAAACCTCAGTCACCATTCCTGCCTGGCCCAAGGGCAGGACAGTGAGATGTCAGTCCCAAGGGGACCTGTCCTGTAGCTGCAGGCGTTTCTAGTGAGGCCCAGTTCTGCAGCAGCTGGGATTGCTTCCCTGCTCATCCTCACCAACCCCATTTCCCCAAGTAACCTGCTCCATGCTACATCCCCACAGCCTGCAGCTTTTTACAAGGACTCAAAGTAATCTTCCTGAAGTGCCTGACAAATCCAAGCATTTAATGGTAGTCATTTTGTTATAAATAAACCATTGCAATAAGCATAAAATTAGCAATAGTGCTAGAAAATGGACTAGGTTTCTTTAAAAAGTTAGCAATGTAATATCCACCAAAACTAGTATTTACTATTTTAAAAATCTTAAGCCTGAGATAAACTTATATTCTGTGTAGTTATATACACCATGTGTGTTCAGGAAAAGAACTCGCTACATTTCTACGGAAAAATAGTCCAGGTTGCTGAGTAGCTGGAATCCTCAGTAGGAAACAAGCTCAGGGAGATTCAAAACTCTATAAATTTATTTGTACTTTACAGAACTCTAACTTTGCTTATAAAAAATAATTTATATTATAATTTTGACAACTCATCTATTAATTTTTATTATTTAAAAACCCAACAATTAAAAAAAAGAATTTTGAATGAAGGGGATAAATTCACCTGCAATCATGCACCTAAGTACCAGTCTCATCATTCCAGAATGATGTCCCCAGTCCTCCACCAACATCCAATTTGTAGCTAGCTGCCATCAGAACACACAGTGTTATATTCTGCCTTCCCTTCCGATGACAGACAGCTTCCTGTACTGCTACATGCTAGTAGTCTAGAATTTTAATAACTGCACAATAGTCTACTAAATGAATGTGTTTCCACTATGGAAACATAATGAACACCAAAGTAATATTGTTTAAAATTAGGAAGCCTCACTCATTCATATCTACCAAGATTGGCCCCCAAAACTCTACCTTCCTAAAGAATTAGTTTGGTGGTTTTTATGACTTTGTTCCTTAAATCTCGGAACTCAATATACTGGCTTAATTTTAGGTTTCAGTTTAAGTGGGAAAGGAAAACTGTGAAAGGCAATGTTACCGCCAGTGCCGTCTCCGTTGGTGAAGTCTCCTCCTTGAATCATGAAATCTTTGATGACTCGATGAAATTTGCTTCCTTTATATCCATATCCTTTCTAAAGAGATTATGTCAAATGAATATACAAGTAGTTATAGCCCATTATGAAAGATAAACCCCAGTGTTTATCTGGAAATGACAAAATGAGAAAATTATACAAAATACCTACAGAACTCGATTAGGTCCCTGCCATGATTTACTGTTAGAAATATACCGTTAACTGACCAAATCAATAAATATAAGTAAGCAAACTGTGGAAGTATTAATGTGAATAAGAAGAGAGCATTTTCACTTGATGATTGTTTCCTGATTTCTAGAAGCCTAAGGCTACTGAGGGTCTGAAGAACACAGATTTTATACAAAAATGAATATTATAAGATGTCTCAGGTCAACCTGACCTACTAATTTAACACTTTTTCCCCCAGAAGACATCTTTATCTTGCCTCAAGAGAAGGAAGATCCAACTTGTGCACCAAAAAGAGATAAAGCTGAGACATACCTCCCCTGTTGCCAAAGCAACAAAATTGTCCACCGTCTTGGGCACAACTTTTCCAAAGAGGCCAATCACAATTCTGCCAACGTCTTTTTCTCCAATCCTCACATCAAAGAAAACCTGCATGTGGTTGAAAGACAGAGAGGAAGGTTATGTGGAAAAGCCACATATACAAGGTAAGTGAAAATGGAAATCTGTGAATTGATCCACACACGAAAGCCCTGCCCACCAGTATTTTACAAAGGGGTCGTGAGGGAGCATGATATAAGTTAAAGGAATTCTAATTCTATTCTGTGGGCGCATTTTGCTCACAAATATTCATTCAACAAACATTTATTGAGCACAGCCTATGGGCCAGACACTGTAGTAGGTACTAGGTTTAAAGTTTGACTCAATACTGTCACTGTGGGCCAGTCAAGTCTTCAAAAATTCCACTTCCTCACGCACCCAGACAAGCACTGCTGCTCTTTCCCATTTCCCAGTTTGTGGGTGAAGGTTAGAGAAGAAACTGTTTATCTTCTAAAATGTAATGCTCTCTAATCTTGGAAGAAGAAAAAAATGGTGAGGAGATAAATAGGCTAGCCATCCAGATTTACTTTTTTGTAATTTCAAACAGTGCCACATTCCCACTGAGTTCTCAATAGACATCTAGGGTCCAGGGGACTGCAAAAGACCATCAGAACGCACAGCAGTCTCCAAGAGGCCTGCCCCTCACTCCCAAGCACAGTAGGGCACCAGGTCCCCATCCTTGGCCAATGGATAGCAAACATTATACTTGGGTCCTGACAAAACCTTTTACCGTGTAAACAAAGATGCTGAATTCAGTTGTCATGTTACACAAGTAACATGTGCTCTTTTTCTATCACAACATTTTAGGGCAGAAGAAAAAACACATACCCAGAAGAGAGTGTGAGTCACTTTATTACAGATAAACTTTAGAAGTTCTCTTCGACTTTTTAAAAAACCACTTTTCATCTGAAATGAAGTTATATACATTTTGCTTCGCAAATCACTGTGTGGAGATGATTCTGAGACGCAACGCCTGAAAAGGCCATGGAGTCGAAGGGCATTCTATTAGTGAGTTTAGATTATATGAACCAATTTAATGTTTGAATGGGTAAAAAAAGACGGCTTTAAAAAACATAAGAAGGGTTGTCAAAGAAAAAGATGTCTTACAGTTTAGAAAAATCATGAAGTAAAGACTGTCCACTTTCAGTTCAAGACGAGAGCTTCTGCCGGTACATCAGCACGGCTGTCACAGGTGATGTGACATTTAGTGTTCCGTGTGGCGTTTTACAATTTTTACATGGCCAAAGCAGCAAAAACTGTGTTATTATTTATCCAGTAGGACTATATAGAATGCATGAAAGACCTTGATATGAGGCAGTGCCATAGAGGAGAGGAATACAACGTGGCTGTGTTCACACACTCGAGCCTGGGCCTGCAGAGCTGGTTTCTCCACAGCGATTTCCAAGCCAAGGAGTAAATCCTATAACCAGCAATAGTGAAACAGCACTGGAAAAAGAATCAGGGATGGCATTTTAAAGAAACAGTGTATAAGAAACTAGAAAACCTGCCAGACTTTTAACAAAAAGAAGAGCAAATAAAGCCCATGAATGTTTAGAAAGCAAAGATGATAAAATCTGGGGAGCATGAGAAGGTGAAGTGCCTCTCACCCAGCATAACTAAAAAAAAATCCTATTTTCTTAGATGCAGCCTAGCATGTATATTAATACAACCCCCTCTCCCCCCAAACCACAGTACCCTTTAACTTCATGAGTGATGGATAGCAAGAAAACATAGCAGAGTTTCCCAACTCTAATGGAAATGGTCAAATCTTATTTAGTCCACAAGTATTTATGAAAAATCTATGTAAAAGGCAATGTGAGTTACAAGTTACACAAGAGGGCCCCTATCCTAAGGTAGCTTAGATCAAGAGATGAAACAAGTAAAGAGATAACCACAGTACTAGGCAGCATATGACAAGTGCCCAAGAAGGCTGCATCCCCAGGTGTGGGGGGAGAAGGGCTGCAGGAAGGCATCCTGGAGAAGGTATAGACGGAAGGGAGCAGCCTCCAGGGACAAGAATGGGCCCAGCCCCTACTTGGCAGAGTTCTTCTGGAACCAAAGACCCCAGGCAGGAAATGTGGTCTGTGTGCAGAGAAGTAGTGTAGCCCTTCTGACCATGCCCGCTGGGAAGGGAGACCCTCACCAGTTCCAGAAGGCAGAAGAAGGGTTTGGGGAGGCACAGAGAGGAGACTTTGGGAATATTATACAAGTTGGGGGGGTATCTAGGGGCTCTTAGACCAGCTCAGGAACGAGGCACTGTGGCCTGCACTGGGGTGGCGGCTGAGAGAATGTAAGGACAGAGTAGAGGGGAGAGGCATTGAAATCACGGGGGAGAACTGGGAGGAAGGGAAGGAAGAAAACAAGCATGACCAAGTCAGTGGTGTCTCATGTGCTTTACCTGCATGTCTTATGTAATTAATCCTCACTACATCTTTTCAGGGAGAGGCAGGGACTATTCTCACAGGTTTTCAAGGAAGAGAAGTGAGGATTAGGGAGGTTAAGTGATTGACAGAGATTTCCCCACCAGGAGTGAGAAAGCCAAAATTTCAAAGTGAGGCTGCATCCAATTAGACTGCAATTTCTCATTAATAAGGCTCTCTCAATCCAGGCAGGGAACCTCTAAAGGGTAGAAAAGGTGTTTTTAGATCCCCAGGGGCCAGCATACTGTCAGCACAAGTTGAGGCTCAAAAAATGCTAAACAGCTCAATGCCCGGTGATATTAAGTGAGAAACAGGACATACACACCTAGCTGGAGTGAGGGTGGGCTCAGTGTGGAAGCCAGGCAAACTCTCCTACTTTATACTTTCTTGCCCCAAGATCATCTCTGCCTTTGCTGTGTGCCCTTGGGAACAGGCCCTGTGCTCAAAAAGGGGTGGGGGGCTGTAAAGCCCCTACTCTCATGGAGTTTACAGTCCCACAGAACAAAAACAACATTACAGCAGTAGCTGTAATATAATGGGAAGTTGGGTTTTATGAGAGGACAAGTACAGATGAAGTACAGTTAGAGGTGGTGATTATCTGTGGGGTTCAGGGCAGGCTTCCTGGAGAAGTTGGTACTTGGATCCCACATTGCACTTCAGGAGCGGGCACCTCACTCACTCCTTGTTTTCCCTCGAAGCTGCCCTTGGAGGTGATCTGAAAATTATGGGGCACTAGAGACAAGGAGAGGTAGGGGAAGAGTGAAGAGACACTCAAGTAGCCTGACCCAAACCCCTGTAGGGTTAATCCTGTTTCCATTTCCAAGGTAAAATGAGCTGTGATGTCACGGAAACCCAGCTCCTCCACTAACTGGCTCTGAGCTCTTGTTCCTTGTCTGTAAAACAGATGATTTCTTTCAGGTCTGGGCTGCTACAGAGGGATTAATAACACAAATAACTCTAACAATTGACCTCTTAAATCAGGAACTTAAATCAGACCTAAGCACTTTACCTGCTTTATCACATCTAATGTGCAAAACTCTCGTGAGTAGGTATTATTTCCATCTCCATTGTACAAAGGAGGAACCAGAGCCTGAGACATCAGATAACTTGCCCAAGATCAAGATCACCCAGCCTTGCTCTCATGGCCACTCCACGCTGTAGAAAGTGCCAGCAAGCTGTAAAGAATACAGCTGGAAAGGGGGCAGCGTTATTTTCTACACTCTAGGTGCTGACTACATAGAACCCACGGCTCTGCTGGAAAATGCAGGGCTGCAAGTGCCAATTCAGTGGATTTTAAGTCAAATGAGCCAGAGCCCCCACCTGAGCCTCTTTGGCTGGGCAGGAAGCTGGGACAGTGGCCTGACAGCAGGACTCATGGACCAGGTGAGTGCCATTAAAGGGCCACCCTGCACTTCACACCTCATTTAAGGATTCCTATTTTTAGAAATCAGAGGAAAAGGAAAAGACTGCTAGGGAAAAGAAAACACTAGAGCAGTGGCCAATTAATCTACATTTCCACACTCAGAGAAATAATTTTTAACGTCTCCTTTTTGTTGTTTAAAAAAGCTCACTGAATGAGTAATTAATTCAACAGAGTGGAGTCTGTAGAAAACTTGCCTACATAATCCCAGAGTAGAACACAAGGAAACTCCTCAGTGACAGCACCTTAAAGCAGGGACTGAGATGCTTCAATGCTTCCCTCCTGCAGCCAACATCGCCCTCTTCTCTTGGCTTCCTCCCTCTTCTAAAGGTTCCCAACCCAGGCTGCACACCCCCAGAGATGGTGATTGACTTGCTCTCCGGTAGGTCTCTGCATTGGTAGGTTTAGAACTTCCCAGTTGAAGCTTGTTCCCAAATATTGCAGGTGACATCCTCACACTAAGAATTCTTCATTGTTTATCTGAAATTCCCATCTAACTGGGGCCCGGTATTGCATCTGGCAATCCTAATCCCTTTTCCCCACCCCCTATCTAAACTGTCAACCTATTTCAAGTCCCATGCCCCCCACTTCCCCTATTGCCACCCTAATCCAATCACCGCCATCTAGCCTCTGGCATGGAGCCCAACATGACCTCCCAGTTCACTCCCCCAAGCGCCCACAGTAATTGTTTAAAAGTGTATATGAGATCCTGTCAAACCCGTGCTTAAAACCCTCCAGCAGCAATAACTGCACTTAGGATAAAACCTCAAATTATAAGAGTAATTGCCTCAAAACCCACACTCCTAATTGTGACCTCTGAGGCCCTGCATGATCTTGCTGCCGCTCAGCCCCCAAACGCATTTCAAGCCATTCCCCTCCCTCTCATCCCTGCACTGAAGCCACACTGTCCCAGGCAGCCAGTCCTCTTAGTGGCTTTCCTGTCTGGAGGCCTTGGACCATGCACTAAGTTTGCCTCCTTAAGTTTTTGCCAGGCTAGTTTTTCTTACCATTCAGGTCATTTTAAACGTCACCCATTTTAAATGTCTATATTAAGGTTTATTTCCTTCATCATTTCATAGCTTCATGAATTTTATGATTATGGCTGAATCCTAAGAGACCCTAATATATCTGCAGGCTGAAAGAAGCCCCCTCCTCCTCCTTCAGCTCTGTGGCCTGCACCAGCTATTTCCCAAAACGAGGTAAGTCCAAATGACCAAGGGGCTGGGAGTAGAAGCAGTGCTCAAAATGATCAGGCTAAGTGTATCTCCCCAGGCAGCCTCCCGTGGCCTCGGGGTTCACTCGGGCTACAGCAGATGCTGGGCTCCACCCCCCCTCCCAGCCCCTTCGACCCCCCCTTCTGGGTGGGGTCAGTGGTGAATGCAAGCATTCTCCTCGTTCCTCAGCACCGTTTCCACTGTGGGACGCCAGGCTGGTTGGTAAGACCACTTGGGCTGCCCCTCCTTCCAGATTCCAAGGCACTGCTGCCAGTAAGTTTTTCTAGCAGTGGCAATTAGCAACTAACCCAAGCACCCCCTCCCTCTTCCCTCCGTCTCTCTCCCGGCACCCTGCCATTACCTCCCAACCTTGGGTAAATATGCTGGGGGGCGGGGGGCTGGGGGGGGACTGCAGCCGAAAGGGCAGTCCATGGCAGATTTTCTCCCCCAGATCGAGACAAAAAGGCTGGTCTCAGTCATCGGGGTGCCGCCGGTGCCTGCCACCAACACCATCCCAAGTCCAGGGTGTGCCCACCAGTCTGGCGTCTAAAAGCGCACCTCTCCCTCGCAGGGGAGGGCCTGGCTGCTAAATAGAGGGGAGCCCCTCCTCGAGCACGGCCTGTGGGGACTGGACCTGGGCCCTTGCGCGCTGGGCGACATCCGCGGGCGGGCGGCCCAGCTGCAGCCCGGGGCTCGGAGCGCGTCTCCCCAGGTCCCCGTCCCTCCCGCGCTCTTCCTGCTGCTGGTCCCGAGTCCCCGCCACGCCGAAGGAAGTTCCCGGGCGGTCTCCTTCCAGGAGAAAGTGTCCCCGGTTCCGGAAGTTTCTCCTAACCCCTGGGCTGGTCACCTCGGACCACGGACCTGGGAGATTAACTTCAAACCACCCGCGGCGGGGGTGCGCTGGGACG